AACCCCCGGGCCCGCTTGGTCATAACCGAAAATTCGGACCAAAGCCCATTTACCTATTCACCCCGAGCCCGATTATGTAATTATTTTCAAAATCCAACCCCAAATTGAGGTCAAATCCCGAATTTGCAAAATCCTCCCCAATTCTTCCTAAATTCCTAGTTTTCTACCATGGATGAACAAAGATTAAGGCTAGAAATTAATGGGTGATATTAGAAATGGAAGAAAATAAGTTAAAGTATGCTCACCTTTGAATTGGTGTTGAAACTACTCCTCCAAATCGCCTCTAGGCCGAGCTCTAATGGAAAGATTATGAAAAAATGGGTGAAATCCCGATTTTGAAACATTTAAGTCACTGGGCGTCAGGCCTTCTTCACGTTTGCGAAGGGCCTGACACGATCGCGAAGTGCAGCGGCCCAAGTGGCCTACGCGTTCGCGAGAAGTGCTTCGTGTTTGTGGTGGTTCTCCCCCTGACTATCGAGTCTGCGACCTTAGGTCCGCGTTCGCGTAGCACTGCAACCCAGTACCCCCAGGTGTATAACCTTACGCGTTCGCGAAGGTATGGGCGTGTTCGCGAAGGGCAGACTCCCGGCTGCTCCGTGTTCGCATCCATCTCCTTGCGTTCGCGTAGAACAATTTTCTCGAGTACCAATTTACTTTTCGCGACCGCGAAGAAGCTTTTACCAGACACCATCAAACATCATAACCAACAATTTTCCCTAAGTTAAAAATGGTCCGAAACCTATCCGAAACTCACCCAAGCCCTCGGGTCTCCAAACCAAACATGCACACAAGTTCAAAAATATTATACGAACTAGCTCGTGCGATCTAAACACCAAAATAACATCTAGAACTTTGAATCGGACACCAAAACGAATGATTTAATTCATTTTAATGCCTTTGACTTTATAGACAATAACTTCAATAAGTATCCAGTTACAAACCTTTCTAAAGGAAAAAGTCTAGGATGAGATCAAAAACATTCAAAACTGCATCCAATGATTTAATTTGAAATGTTTTAGCCTGTAGATAAGAAGAAGAAGTTTTGTATAACCTTAAATTAAAATGCAAGTAACCTATATCCTTTTAGAAAGCTGGGAAAGGCCATCAAACAACGACATATAATTCAACGATAAAATTAAAGGAAATTACCTTCGTCATGATAGCATGAGAGGAAGCAGTCAACCAATCCAAATCACACTAATTATTTGCCCTTTAAGTAATTATTCCATAAAAATGCAAGAGAATTTAAAGAAAATATAATCATGAAATTCTTGAACAAAAAGAAATCAATTGATACAGACCATAAGACAAACAATTGTAAGATCATGCCCCATTACTTTAACAATTTAAAATAATTAAACCTGAAGAGAATGTAAAGGGAATCATGAGAATCTTGAACCAAATGATTCAATTTATATAGACCTTAAGGATAACAAATAAGAGAAGATAATCATTTTGTGTTGTTACTGGCCAGACAGTTAAGGAAGTTATCCTTTGCATTTATTTTTATATATAAATATATGTCCATAGAATTGCTATATCACAATGATAAAATCAAAGATTTGAAGAATGATAAACTTACTGGAGTATATCCAACGACAACAATATTCACATTTTTGTTCGCAGTAAGACGTGAATTCCTGTTTCTAATTCCTTAGAGGCAATGTCAACAAGGGACCATGAAAATTTATAAGCTTTCAATGCTTTATCTGGTTGTTGGTTATTGGGCAATTATGATTTTATCATTTCTTCGTTGGATAAGAAAGAATATGCAGTGAAGCTAAGACAAAGAAGGCAGCAGGTGAAACCTAGCAGAGAAGACAAAATTCTGGTAAAAGAAATTAGAGAATCGAAGTGCAGAAGTGAAGGGGACTGTTTTTGGATTCTTAGCTATGATGCAACTCTTTATTACCCTCATCTGTTACAACTTTTCAATACCCTCTTTCAGACTATTCGGCTGATAATAACTTTAGTAATAATTTATTGGATAGAAGTAAGAGAAGGGTAGAACAGCCATTTAGTGTAACTAGTTTCTGGATACATGCGTTGCACGCGTGTTTCATGTCAATTGGTTGAAAACTTTGTAAAACGGTAAAAATAAAATTAAAACTTGCGCACAATAGGTAATCGAAATTTTGAAAGCAAAAAAAATAAAAACACATGCTAAAATTGATGAATAGTCAAGCCGTGGAATCAGGGTAGGTTGTCTATATCACATCCCATGGGGTGCGACCCTTCCCGAACCCTACGTAAACGTAAAATACTTTGTCCACATCGCTGACCTTTAGTCATCCTATTGAATGACTTAATTGTAGGTCACCATTATAGTTGGTCGTACATATACTGAAAAGAGGTAGACTTTTCTTATGTAGTCTTCTAATATATCAAATATTCAGCCTATCAATTTTCTTATATTTTGGTAGTTCATCAACACATAGTTTAAATGTGATTATGTGCAACGTCACGTATGTATGCAAATGCGTCACGTCGTCGTCTCTTTTAAAAGCTGTAGCCTCCTCTTTTTTATAGTAGAATACATGTCAAAATGTTGTTATCCAACGAAAGTAGTATTTTATAAAAAAATGTACATAAATTCAATCAACATATGTATTTTTTAGAAAGGCTAGCAGATCAATTTCATTGTATAGACATGCATAGAAGTACATAGTTATATTTGCAATAGAGATATTTAATAATTACTGACATCAAAAAGATTAATTGATATATGTAAATCATAATTGCATGTTGACATACTCTTTATCTGATTCAAAATTATGAATACTTTCATCTATGAATTTAAAATAATAATATGAAGGAATTATGTAAATAGAAATATATTACGAAATATAACAAGACAATCGTGTGTTAGATATCCATAGTTTGATGTTTTAGTACATGAAAATTTTTAACTTTCAAGATTAGTTTTTAATCATCAAAAAAGAACTTGACAAACAAAAAAATATGAGAATAAATACTTATATGTGTGATGTAATACCCATATTTTGAAGAGAAAAATTACAAGCTCAAACCGATGCCTAGTAAAAGCTGGCAATTCTCTACTTTTGAATAAACTATATTTTTTGTCACATATTAAAATGTGAAACTATCACTAAAATCGAATCACATAAAATATCAATTACAATGTATGTAAGAGAATTTCTCACATTAATTCATTTTGACTTCAAGCTATTAGTTAGTCTTTTCATCTTTACCTAGTGTATGATGTACTCAATTTTGCATTCAACTTCAATATAAATTTTTTAATTTTATTGCGTAGCATGTGAGGCTTCTAACTTTGCTGTTGATTCTAAACCCCGTAGTTGGAAATGATTTTTTTTTACTATCTCCTTTTTGTTAGCAATTCTCTTCACTCTTTTAATTCTCTAATAAATATTAATATATGCAATTGATTGCTAGAATTTCTTCACAAACAAAACTTCCATATTTTCTCCTTATTTTTGTCTAAATATATTCTTCATGTTTCGTCCTATTGAATTACAAAAATATAATGAACAAACATTACCTTAAGCTACAACGATTATCAAAAGGAAACAATTATCTCAAGCAAGTGTTAGACAAAACTAACCCATATTCCTTAAATGCTTATTGCTCTATAGAGAAAAGAAAAGGAATATTACAACTCTAATAATGGAACCAGACCTTTTCATTTCATCCAGAAAGCAAAACGTAAATTTATAGCCAAAGGAGAAAAAAGCAAAAAATACATAAAGAAAATAATCAAAATAAAATATGATAATTAAGAATAAGTGCATTAGATTAATATTTCAGGGGTATAAATAGCACTCCATGGATACATGTGCTAGGTATCCTTTAAATATAGGCACAAGGAGATATCATATCCTTTGGCCACATGTATGGTGAAGATAGTATTTGTAACTGGTTAACAAGGAACAAAACAATTGGAAAGCAATAACGCAGCCCAACATAAACTAAGTGTATACGGTAAAAACCGTTAGTCCTTCGTACGAACTGGTCGAAATGGTAATGCATTGGATCGGAGAAGCATTTTTATAATTAGGTTGAGGTCCGAAGTCAGGTTACCAAGCTTCGAGCCCTAGGGACCGATCAATGTCGAGCTCGATATTATTATCGAGCTCGAATCCAAATCGAACTATGATGCAAATTGAAGTTATCGAGCTTATGAGGCAGAGACCGACCAACACTGACCCCGAATCAATACAAGGATCCGAGTCAGAATCGAGCTCGAGTCAAGATCGAGAGCTCGAGTCGGTACCAAGCTCGAGTCAATATCGAGCTCATAGACAGGAGCCATTGCAATCCCACTAGAGGAGAGAATCCTGGCAGGAATTATGAAAAAATTGATTTATCATGGGTCTCCCACTATGTATTTTTAATTATATCTAAAGTAGGATCTCTCCACTATAAAGGGGATGATTATTATTTTTGTAAGGATCAAGTCTTGCATACATTGTAATTGAGATATAATACACTCCTATATTGAAGAGTTATCCTTTTCTAGCTTGATAAATTGATTCATCTTGTCTAATTTATAAATCATCTTCTTCCCAACTTTGCTTATTTTTCATTCTCTACGGTTAGCAATCGATATTTCTATTCATTCTTACGATTTGTGTCAAATTATACCACATACCCTTAGAACTACGTACAAATTTAACTCTATCCGTTTTTCGGATAAACACTAAGTCAGCTGAGATTTCTTTTTTCTGGGCGTTGTTATTGGAGTTGAGCAAAATAAACCAAACAAGAAGGGCAGACTTTTATGAGCAAAAGGACACTTCTGACAAAAAGAAGAAAAACGGGAAAGTGATGTGGATTCACTTCATTATTCTTCCTCCGGTTTGTTCCATTGCTTCAAATGTTGTTTCAAAAATCATTTTACAATCTTTCGTGATGACTAGCATAACGCGTTCTTTACATATAAAACAGAAAAAATAGGATTTAAGATGATAATAATTAAGAATTATATATATANATGCATCGATCTAGTTAGAAGCAACTGAATTCATAATTCAAAATTTATACTTCAAAATGAATAATAAGTTTACAACTTACATAGATTGTAGCATGCATATATAAGAAATAAACTTAACACTTATGATGAAAGCTTATATTACCTTAGATGAATATGGAACATCGGAGAAGTCAACCGGCCTTCAAGAAAAAGAGTTCATTAGAGAAGTAAGATTTCTATAATTTAATTAATGAAATGTTTGAAAACCACAACCAGAAAGATGTAACTCATGGACCTTGAAGACTTTGTACCCGATGAATTGTATTTCGTATCTGCAAGAAAAATTAGCTATTAGAGAAACAATACACAGTAAATCATTAATGAAAAGAACATAAACTAACAATTATACAATATTTAGACATAAGCTGATTTAAAAAGGCAATAGAAAAGAAGGGTTGTGGAGAAAGTAAGGAGAAGCATGCTGCAGGGAAGAACTGAAGCATGAGGAGGATGATATTGGAAATTGATTGTATATATACCATGTTTGATAAGAAACGGGAGGTACAATAAAAGCATAGGAATCATAATCGATTCTTCTTCATCTTATTAATAACCTCTGAGATTACCAACTTCACAAATTCCCCAGGTTTTGATAGGAACAAAGAGAAGTGTGTAGTTAGACATCAATTATGAGTCCTTATAGAAATTAATAATGATTTATTGTAGTACAATTTTATCATGGTAAATTGTGAAGTTTAAATTATTAACACTAAGTCAAAAATTATTAATATGGGAAGGTTAAGTATTGACCTTAAGAGAAGGGTAATATTGTGATTTAATTTTTGAAGGTTATTATGGTAAATTAACTTCACCTAAAAGCCTTAATGCTTATAATATAATATGATATGATGATATGATAACTAGTTCACAACTCTTCACCTCATGAATTAGTTTTAGTGATCAAAGTCAGACGAATTCGTGATCGAATGTATCAGAACTAGTCTCACCTCACCTCAGTACGACAATTGAGTCGGGTGGTTGAGCAACATTAAGGGCGTTGCAGATTCGGGTGTAACGCTTAGCAAGAAATACCGTTGGCCTCATATTAAAGAGGAAAAGAAATTGTAGATGTGAGTATGCTGAAAATTATCAGTGTGAATAGAAAGAAAATCCCATATCTACCTACCATTTGATATGAAATCTTTGACTTTGATATTCATTGGAGTTGGCCTACCATCTGCTAGCTTGGCCAGTGGTCCCAAGCCAGTCCAGCTGTCCCACCAGAATGAAGAATCATTCTCCAGATATGTGACTAGCCATATATCCTCTTTTCTGACATAGGGTAACCCCTATTACAATATTTGGCACTCGGAATTTTACTCAACAAGGAGTTGTTAGTTCTGAAATTCCACCACATCTTGGCAGCAAAAGGATTACAAAACTCTTGAATGGTTCTAAATCTTACCTCTCCTTCAGAAGTTGGGTAGAAGAAATTAGACCACTTCATCCAATGAAATTGTGATTGTGTTTGTCCTCCAATTTTCCCCGGAAAAAATTAGTCATAATTTTTTCTATTTGTTTAATGATAGTTTTAGGTGGAGATAGCACTGATAGTTGATGAAGAGGCAGTGCTTGCAACTAGTGGTAGAAAAATGGATAAGAGAAAATACTAATTCACCCATATTATTCATTAAAATAGGTTGGATAATGAACTTTTTAAAAATGAGTCAAATATGGATAAAAATCATATCATCCATTTAAAAAATGGATAACCAATGGATTACTAATAGGTTTAGCTTTTACATTTGTAAAGTCTCAAATTGGGGGTTCCTCAAGTTTGGGGAACTAGGTGTCACGACCCAAAATCTCACAATAGGCGTCGTGATGGCACTTAGTCTCTAAGACTAGGTAAGCCGATTACAATTTCATTTCAAGCCTTTTTTTTTAAACATATAATTTAATACAAGTGTCGAAACCAACAACGGAAATAATTATAACAACCTCCCAAGACTGGTAATACTGAGTCACAAACTCTAACTGGTGATCTCGAGCATCGAATATACAATACTGTTCGAATAAAAAATTAACAGTACATTAAAAATGGAAAGACTCCAAGGGACTGCGACGACCAAGCAGCTCTACCTTAAGTCCTTGCAATCACACTCTAACTTTGTCTGAGTCTGATATCTCCAATACCTGACTTTGCACAAAAATATGCAGAAGTATAGTATGAGTACACCACGTTCAATACCCAGTAGGTATCAAAACTAACCTCGGTGGAGTAGTAACGAGGTACAGTCAAGACACTCACTAGTCTATTAACCTATGCAATATAGCATACAAAAATAATAGAAAACTGTAATGACCCGACCGATCATTTTTGGCATTTATGCTTCTTTCAGCTATTTGAAGTCTTGAATAGGTTCATATGATGTATTATGACTTGTATGAATTATCGGTTTTGGTTTTCAGCTATTTCGGAGTTAGTTTGTAAGAATGAAATTCAAGGTTTAAAGCTTAAGTTGAAAAGGTTGACCGGATGTTGACTTATATGTAAATGACCCCGGAATAGAGTTTTAATGATTCCAATAGCTTCGTATGGTGATTTTAGACTAGGGAGTGTGTCCGGAAAATTATTTGGAAGCTCGTAGTTAAATTAGGCTTGAAAGGGCAAAAATATAAAGTTTAAGTTTGGAAGTTTGACAGGGGAGTTGACTTTTCGATATCGAGGTCGGAATCCGATTCTGAAAATTGGAATAGCTTCGTTATGTCATATGACTTGTACGCAAAATTTGAGGTCAACCGGACTTGATTTGATAGGTTTCGGCATAGAATATAGAAGTTGAAATCTTTTAGTTTCATTAAGCTTGAATTGGAGTATGATTCGTGGTTTTAGCGTTGTTTGATGTGATTGGAGATTTCGACTAGGTTCGTGTGATGTTTTAGGACTTTTTGATGTATTTAGTTGAGGTCCTGGGGGCCTCGGGCTGGTTTCAGACCAAGTTTGGCTGAGTCGCTACTGCTGATGTCTGGTGCGTGGTTTTGTTCTTCGCTAACGCGAATGTGTTCACGCATTCGCGAAGAAGGATCTGTTGGGCACTATTTTTGTGCTACGCGTTTGCAACCAGGGCCTCGCATTCGTGACTGGAAGATCGCATTCACGAAGGGAAAACTTTGCCTGGGAAATTTTAGCCCTCGTGTTCGCGGAGAGAGCCATGCGTTCGCGAAGGGTTATTGGTGAGGCAGGTGAGATCACACTTCGCGTTCGCGAAGGAGGGGCTACATTCGTGAAGGTCAAGCTCAGTGTCCATCGTGTTCGTGTGGGCTGTCTCACGAACGCGAAGAGGAATTTGACAGTAGTGAAATTTTGTGCTTCGCGAATGCGAGGAATGTTCTGCGTTCGCAAAGAAGAAAAGCCTGGGCAGAAACTTTAAGTTCTGACGTCCCATTTTCCATTTTTGACTTATTGGAGCTCGGGAAGAGGCGATTTTCAAAATATTTACAAGGAAAACAACGGGTAAGTGTTCTTAACTCAATTTTGGTCAAATTACCTGAATCCATAGTTATTTTTAACATTTAACTGGTGAATTAAGTTGGAAAAATTAATAAAACCCTCTTGGTTTAATTTGAATATTTCGGGGTCGAATTGATGTCGGAATTTGATAAATTTTGTATGGTTGGACTCGTGGTTGAATGAGCGTTCATATTTTGTACCTTTTGTCGGGTTCTGAGATGTGGGCCCCACGAGTGATGTTTTTAGTGTAATTTCAGATTTTGTGGGAAAATTAATATTTTGATATGGAATTAATTCCTATAATTTGTGTTGACTGAATCAAATTAATTGTGACTAGATTCGAGCCGTTCGGAAGTTGATATGCACATAATGGAATTTCTGGAGCATTGTTTATCTTGATCGACATTGGATTCGGCTTGTTCGAGGTAAGTAACTCTTCTAATCTTGAAGTTGAGGGTATGAACCCTGATTATACGTGTTATGTGTTTGGTGTTGAGGTAACGCATATGCTAAGTGACGGGCGTGTAGGCGTACACCGTATGAACTGTGACTCCGTTATTCCTGTGGTACTGTGTAGTTACCTGAACTTATCTGAAATCATGAAAATCTCTACATACTAGAGCTATTGAGTTGTGATCCATGTTAGAAACCATATCTAGGCTATATGCTTATTCTGTTGGGAACCATTGAGGTCGTTACTACTGTTGAGTTATTTTCTTACATTGCAATTTTATACTCAGTCATGTTCATTCATTTCATATCATATCTCGGTATCTATTGCTACATATTGACACATCATATCATCATTTTTGGGCTAGTTTCATGACATTGTGGGCCCAATAGACTTGGGAGATTGATGACTGAGTGAGGTTGAGGGCCTGATTGTGAGGATATTGATACTATTGCATGTGAGTTGTCCGTGCGGATATAGATATCGATACTATAGCACGTGAGTTGTCCGTACAGCACGTGAGTTGCCCGTGCGGTTTACAACGCTTGGGCGGTAGGAGCCCCTCTAGAGTTTGCACACACCCCTAGTAAGCGCGGTTGATTTATATTGAGGGATAGATCTTATCTGAAGCATTTATATCTGGGAATGGATCTTCCCCGCGGGCAGGATTGGCCCTACTCGGTACTGAGTGACTGATGGTTAGTTGATGCATATATTCCGGGATGGATCTTCCCTGGGACGGATTGGCCATATACAGTACTGAGTGATTGACCATGATGAGTGGAAAGTGTGAGACAATGAGATTGAGTACTCTGAGAGTGTGAGTATATGATTTCATCTATGAGATACATTGCATTGACATGCACACATGACATACATACATAGAGATGTATTTTTCTCATGTTATACGGTATCACGTCATTCATGACTTTTCACACATATTGACATATGGTCATAGTTATGTATTTTACACTGGCTATCTGGAAAGAAAATGAAATATCTTATTTATTGTTGAAAGGAGTTTTGGGAAAATTTCTGTTTTCAAACTTATTCATATTTTTGGCAACTTCGGTAAACGACTTGGGTTTTCAGTGATACACTTGAAAGGCAGAACTATTTTTAGAAATCATGATTAAGCTGAACATTTTTTCTCTGAGTTACTTCTTTTATTACATGCTTTATGTTGTTATGAACTGTTGTTGGCTATTGGTGTTGGATCCCAACCTGTGTTCCAGCTCGTCACTACTTTGAACCTAAGGTTAGGTTTTAATTACAAAAATGGTTATGGAATGGGATGAAAATTGTATATTTGAGTTTTTGAGATTATGGGTAACGATTTCCTCCGAACATTTTCGAAATCCGGACACGTGGTCCAGGAGTGAATTTTAAGAATTTTACCAATTTGGGTTGGGTAATTAATCTAATAGTCTAATTTCAAATTATTGAGCATGTATTGATTAAATTATATAACATTGGGCTAGTTTCGGATTTTTGGCACCAAATTGAGGCTTTAACGCAAAGTTGTGATCGGGAAGTGAACTTTGAGACGAGGTAAATCTACTGTCTAACCTTGTAGAGGGAATTTACCCCATAGGTATTGTAAATAAATATTTGCTTCTAATTGTGGGGGCTACATACATACGAGGTGACGAGTGTCCGTGCGTAGCTACTATTATGCTATTGTTCGAGTAGTTTTAGGACCAAATTCATAAACTA